TCTTATAGGCCTTCTTTAAGTACTGAATTGCCACAATAAGATCTCCCTGGAGCCTTCTCTTCTTCAGGCTGAACACCAGCTCTCTCAGACTTTCTTCAGAAGAGGTCTTATAGGCCTTCTTTAAGTACTGAATTGCCACAATAAGATCTCCCTGGAGCCTTCTCTTCTTCAGGCTGAACACCAGCTCTCTCAGACTTTCTTCAGAAGAGGGGTGTTCCATCCCTCTGATACTTTTTGTGGCCCTCCTCTGGACACCGAGGGGCTTTCCGGCCTGTCCCAGGCCTGGGGTCTGTCCCATGTGCACGCCCACGCTGCACCCCCCCGGCCGGGGGAGGGGGTGGGCAGGCCGGCGGTGTGCCCGGGGGCTCCTCTGGAACGGCCCGTGACTCACACACACGTGCTCAGCTCCTCTCAGCGTGGTGCATGCCCAGACATGTTCTGCCCAGCTCACACAGCTCTTCCACAGGTGCAGTCCTCCATCCAAGGCTATCTTTGAGACAAACATTCATGGCTCGGTCCTTCACACCTGTCACAACAGGCCTTGCTAAAAAGATAGTCCCCTTTTCTTATAGGCCTTCTTTAAGTACTGAATTGCCACAATAAGATCTCCCTGGAGCCTTCTCTTCTTCAGGCTGAACACCAGCTCTCTCAGACTTTCTTCAGAAGAGGGGTGTTCCATCCCTCTGATAATTTTTGTGGCCCTCCTCTGGACCTGCTCCAGCAAGTCTGTGTCTTTCCTGTGCTGAGGACTCCAGAGCTGGATGCAATACTCCGGGTAGGATCTCACAGAAGCAGAACAGAGATGCAGAATCACCTCCCTTTACCTGCTGACCATGCTTCTTTTGATGCGGCCCAGGTTACCATTGGCTTTCTAGGCTGGAAGTGCCCATTGACAGTTCATGTCCAGCTTTTCACTCACAAGGACCCCCAAGTACTTCTCCACAGGGCTGCTTTCAATCCCTTCATCCCCCAGCCATCAGGGATCAACCCAGGTGCAGGACCTTGCACTTGGCCCTATCAGAACCACATGAGGTTCACACAGGCCCACATCCCAAGTTCATCCAGGTCCCTCTGGATGGATTTCCATCCCTCAGGCATGTCAACCATACCACTCAGCTTGGTGTCATCAGCGAACTTGCTGAGGGTGAACTTGATCCCACTGTCTGTGTTATTGATGAAGATATTGAACAGCATTAGTACCAGAACAGACCCTGGAGGCAAAACACTTGCCATCAATCTCCAAATGGACATCGAGCCATTGACCACTACCGTCTGGATACGACTATCCAACCAATTCTTCATCCACTGAGCAGTCCACCTATCAAATCCAAATCTTTCCAATTTAGAGAGAAGGACGCTGTGGGGAACCATGTCAAAGGCCTTACAGAAGTCCACATAGGTGACATCCATAGCTCTTCTTTTGTCCAGTGATGTCGTCACTCCATCATGAAAGGCCGCTAGGTTAGTCAGTCAAGACTTACCTTTGCAGAAGTCATGCTGGCTGTCTCAAATCGTTTCTCTGTCCTCCATGTGCCTGTCCTGGAGTCTTCTTGGTACAGAAGAAAAGCTGAGTCAAAACATTTTCCCATAAATAAAAATCCCACCTCTCTGTTACTCTCAGGAGTTTGGTTGCCATAATGACAGACTAAATCCTTCCCTGTGCGATGCCTCATCTGCCTGACTAGCAGGAGGCAGCACCCACTATTGCCATGGTGTTCCTGATGGAAGAGGAGGTGTTTGGAGATCTGTGCAGTATGTGGAAGGGGAATTATTGCCCTCTTCAAGTGCCAATTTTGTATTTAATTGCAAATAGCATACTTTACAAAATTAACCAAAACCTTATCTTCAGACTAGTTGTGGCTGTGTGCTGATGTGACAGTGGCAGCTGTTTACTTGTGCACTGGAAAATGGATCATGAGTAAAGCTCTCACAGTCTGAATAAGTTGGCTTTTTGTTGCTATTAATGGTTATTGTGATACTTGTCTGTGTATGGCAACAAAATGTTTGCTTCAGGCTAGAAGCTAGAGGGATCTACAGAAATTCAGAACTGGTTGGAGATTTCTTTGTGGGGAGAGCAGAGGGGACTGTTGATGTTATTTTTGAATGGTGGCATTAGAAAACTTTAGAGCTCATTATAGCTACTGTCAACAGGTTCAGAATGTGTTTCTGTGTCTAGGACTCTATAAATCTTAAGAGTAACAGAAAGACAGACTTGGAAAAAACACGGTGGTGCCATATGGGTGAATGCTGTCAAAGGCCACCATGAGTGGCACTGATATTGGCAGGTGACATTGTTTGGTAAAGAGGAGTGGGAAATGACACTGCTGTGAGTTTTTAATCCATTCATTGGAATAAGTAACACTGATTTTTTTTTTTCTCTTTCCCATTCCTGTGAAATGCATGCTTTTGAGGTACACTGTCTCAAATTAGTGATATTGCTCCAGTAGTAATAATAGCTGCTGCTTTTCATCAATTTTAGGTGAGCTGAAATCCTTGGCCCCTCTCGACCGAGAGAAAATCCCCGCGTACAACTTGGTTGCCCGAGCCACAGATGGTGGTGGCAGGTTTTGCCAGTCAGACATCCACCTTATTTTAGAAGATGTTAACGATAATCCACCAGTGTTTTCATCTGATCACTACACAGCCTGTGTTTATGAGAATACAGCCACCAAAGCTTTGCTAACAAGAGTCCAAGCCACTGATCCTGATGTCGGTGAGTAACGCTGCAAACAGTAATTCATGTTGAGGAAAACTGTGGGTTGGTAGAATTGCAAAATAGATTCTTTTTTCTATTGCTGCCTTTCCTCATTCTTTTCCTTCTGCATCCTCCCCATTTTTCTCTCTTTTTTCTTTACTTTGAAATGCTGGTGGCTGAGTTTGACATAATGATGTTACAAGCAGAAAAGCATTGCAGCAGGCGCAGAAGCATGTAGTCTTTTATTGTCTCGATCAATGATAGCTGTGTTTAGGGGTAAATGAGAGTTTGGGGGGCTAAATTCCAGCTTTCTTCCTCCAGTGGTCTCACCTTTCTTCTTGAGCTATAATTTTGAATACCCATGTGTCTATTTATGCAAATAATATAGTTACACGCCGTAGAGACCTATACCTGATTAATCACAGCTTTTCTAGAGTTTTATACTGCTATAACTCCCATTTGTTCCAGCTGGTTACCTTAGCATAAAACTATTGTACTCTGTGAATGTACATTATAAATGTTCTGGTTATTTAACTGTGCATTCTTTTAAAGTATAATAGTTTATTATATGAGGACCTTAACCTTGAAATCTGGGCCCAATTATAAATACAGGTGTTTTTTTTGCGTAACACAGTGCTAAAACCTACCAAATATCAGATTTTTAATTTTTTTTAGCTCATTTACTCCAGCTGGAATAAATAAATCTCATAGTTTGTTTTACCTTCCTGTGGTTTTGGAGATGTTTTGTAAAACTGTGGATTGAGTAGATTCACAAAAAAAAGCAGAACTTTCAAAATGTTTGGTTGTTTTGGGTAAATTACTTGCTGGAAGTCTCAGTTGTTACTAAGGCTGTTGTTACTAAGGATATTGTAAACATACAGGAATCAGTAAAGGAACAGCAAGCATTCATTAATATATCCATGAAAAGCTGCATTATATGCCTTGGTTGAAATATCACAATTAAAGTTATGATACTGTCCTGCAGTGAAAAGCCAATTACTGGTAGCAAACTACTGAGCAGTCTGGAGACCCAGCGTTGTTGTTTTCCACTGTTGTCTTAATTACCGCTTTTCTCTTGTGTGAGGTGGCATTCAAGGAGAGACAGGAGACAAAAAAAAAATCAGAATAAAAAGTTGTCAATAAAAGTTCTTGCTAGCACCAGCTTTGCATAATAAGATGGTTAGCAATGTAAAGGAAAAAAAACAAAGAAAAAAATCAACCATGAGCTAATTGCTACGTCTTCGTTGTGAAACTAGATAAGTAAGAGGGTTGCATGCAATAAATGCAAAGAGGCTATGTACTTCTTTAATGATTAGACCTGAAAATCAAATAAGACATGGTATAATATGAAAGTGACTCTGGTCTCTAAAATTGGATTTTGTATTAATTACTGTTCTATTAGTCCATACCACAATCACTGATTCCCTATTGCTGCCTGTAGTGAAAGACTTCACTATATGAATGAGTGTAATGTTCCCATCCCGGAGAAAAATTTATTATTGATATTCCTGATGGACTATGATATTCCTGTAAGGTTTTGTGGAGTGTTATCCTGAAAACATCAGTGGAACTGGTAATCATCATACAAATAAATTTTTTAACATTCAGGAAGCATCTTATGATCAGCTTTAGAGTTTGCCCATTCTGCTGTGGGATTTGAAGAGCTGTGTACTGTAAGGGTAGGAGTAACAATATGGAAGCCATTGAGATAAAACTTGAGAGAAGTCAATTTGTGCTCTCCAACTAAACACAACTGAACATAAACCTGAAAATACTGTGGTCGCTCACTGTTGGGTAATTAAGATCATTTCTGGCTAACAGGAAAATGGTGTTATATCTGCCCTGTACCTTCTCTAAGTTCCTGAACTCATAGTGCAGGAAATTTCATGGCTGGAACATAAGTTGTTATGTAATATATTTGTAATTTGGATATGTGCTTAGAAACTACCTGTGCCACCTGCACACACTGAAGGAGAGTCATGATTCTTCTTCACAGTATTTGTCATGGTTTGCTGTCACAGATGCCCCCAGACCTATAACAGATGCTCTCTGTTAACCCCTCTCCCTTCCCAAAAGGGGAATAGAAATGGAATAAAGGAGAGACACTTATGGATTAGAAAAGAAAACTGAAACAGCTTTAATGAAAATATTAATAAAGTGGAATATATGCAAATTCAGTATCAGACCCACCCCTGCACTGTCACCCCTGGTGGCAGTTGCATCACCATCACCACTGGTGCTGTGGAGCAGGCTCTGGGGGAAGTCTCAAACTGGACTTGTCAGTAGTTGGGGACCAGATACAGGACCTGGATTCTGGAACTGGATTCAGGAACACATTAAGTGGGATTGAAGGCAGAACAGATGGAGTTCTCCTCAGATGCCAGACATTGAAGAAGAGAGCTTGAACCTCATGATCCTTCAGCTTTATACTGAATATGACAGATATGGGATGGAACATCTCATTGGTTGGTTTAGGGTCACTTGTCCTGCCCACTCCTCCCCACAGGTGCAGCCTTTTACTTTCTGCACCCCCCAACACAGTACACAAGATTTAGCAGTGACCTTAGTTTGCATATGAATCCTTGGTAGTAGCTGTAAACACTGAGCAGAAGAAGCTCAACACAGAAGCAGACACTGTCTGTGAAAATACACCGTTAACTTCGAAAGTGCAGTAGTTAGAAGAGACATAGCTGAAAAGTAAAACCACTGAACAGAGTTAGTCCTGTTCTAACCCAAACCAGGACAGTATTCAACAGAAGAAAATGGCTTTAACTGTTTAACTCTAGTAGCACACAAGTTCATTTTTACATAACTTCTCCATGTAGCTAAGTATCTTCAACTAAACGATTGCTTGAACAAGAGAGAATATACATATGTCCCCTTGCAAAGACATATTAGTAACTTTAATATAAAACAATTATTTTGCTTGATACTGCAGTATCAGCCCATTTCAAACAAATTAGGGCCATGCTAGAGCAGCAGCACTGAGCGAACCTACCTGGCACCTTGTGGCAAGCATGACATTAAAAAATTTATAAGCTTCAGAATAAACCCAGAGCCCAAACCTGAGCTGCAGGTGCATGCTCCTTTCCAGTGCTGCTCATGTTTTCTGCATGCACACGTTGTGGCCTCACTCGCAGAGTACAAGAGCAAATGACAACGTAGTCCAAGCTCAGCAGTGCTTTAAGTGATGGTTAAATCCTGCCCCACTTGCAGCTGCTTTGCCTTGCGAATGACCTCTATGCTCAGACCTGTTTCCGTGATGATGGATGGTGTAGTCTACCCAAGGCAGAAGCACTTACTGTACTAAATATGGACAGTGCATCATCTGTCCTTCTGCAGTCCTCTTCATCACCACTGGGGCACCAGTGGTTCTACACCATCCACATTTCTAGTCAGTTTAGTGATTTTTACTGACCTATTGATTTTTTTCTGGCATTTTGATGAATATGGCTGTCTAATTTTGCTCAAAATGGGAAGGACCTTGTCAGCCAACCCTGTCTTGGCTGCTGCTGCTGCCTTCCAACCTCTGCATTACCCTACGGTTAAAGCCATGGTTCATGCAGGTCCTTCATTCCCTCCACAACCAAGCGGTATAGATGGACTAGGTTGTCTTGGAGCCAGCACCTTGTATTGTATGCAGCCAATGTGCAGGAAAACACAGGCATATAGACAGAGAAAAAAATGGCAGGAGTGGCCTTTACCTGTCTGTAAAGAGTTCCCTGAACTGCACAGACTTCCCTGATCTGTCCTCAGCTGTCCCTCACCCACACACCCCTTCTCCAGCCTCAGGGACTACACAAGTACATTGCACAGGAGATACAGTGACATGCAGCCTGCAAGAAGTGACCTGGTGCCCAGGTTATGGGCTGGCTGGCCAAATCTAGGAGTTTCTTAGAGACACAATTTAGACTGATCCAGTTCTTCCTTGAACAGCAGCCACACCTCAAAGGCCCAAACCCACTCAGTTGCCCAGCCAGGCAGTCCTCATCTGCTAGCTGACCTGTTTATTGACAGTTTTCCTGTTCTTTGTTCTCTGTATTTGATGCTTTGGTAGTCAGGTGGGTGTGAGGGAAAAAATGTGTGTTGAAAGCCTGTTTCAGGAATAAGACTTGAGGCTCTCCTGTTTATACAGACCAGTTATAAAGGTCAGTTGAACTGGATTGTGTTTTTGAAATACTTCTATACAGATATGTATTATTTGGACCAAAATATATGAAAAAGATTCTGTAGTCATCTGATTATTACATTTGCATTTAACATGGAGAGTGTAAATCAAGTCTCTAATCGGTCTGGTTCTTGGTGTGGGGAATTTTTCACCTCTGCACAAAGTGGAAAAGCTGGGGCAGAAAGGACTCAGCCCTTTGGGGAAGCCATTTGACCTTCTTACTAGGAGACATCTCCCTAGCCCTGACCTTATCCACCAAGAAGCACAGGGGAGTAAACTGTGGTCTGTAACTTGCTTGGTGAGCAGCTGGGGAACCTGGCAGTCTGGGAAAAGGAATGTCATTTTCTTTCAGCTTCTGATGGAAAGATTTATCTCAGATTACAAAGAAATCTGTGATAAAACTGATATTTTCCCTGTTAAGGTCTGACCTCAATGATTTTGATGTTTCAGTAAAGACTTGGTTTGTAAAAAAAACCCAAAACAATCTCCTACCACCTACACTCATAAGGCAGGTGCACGGGAAATTTAAAAAAAAAAAAAAAAAAGTCTTCTAGGGAAGAATGCTAAAGAAACTTCTCTTTTAGGTCAGTCCAATCTGGAGTGTACCTCCAGAAGGACAGTGAAGCAAACCTATCTTCTTTTACTTCCTGTCCTCTCCTTGTGTTGATGAGAAAAATGAAGAAACAGTTAAAACAATAAAAATGAATTACCTATCAGAAATAATGATGGAGGAACATAGATAGTTGTCCAGTGTTTACCACTTGTTTGTAGAAAGTGGCATCAAAGTGCTGGTGAGCACAGCACAGAAAAAAATCACTGTTAGGTTGTTGGGTGGTCACTGCTTTCAAGA